ATTTGGTCTACCAGCTAGATTGATTGAAAACGTTTCAGGGTCAGTTTCTTCCTCAATGGCTTCTCGTTGAGGAAGAGGGTCTAGTTTAAAGAATTCTCCGTACTAGTGTTTGTGAATCTGACTCTACGCTGAGGTTTGGGACTAGGACGGCGTGTCCTACGGAGTGTTGGACAGTCTGCTCTGATATGACCTTGTAAATTACAGTGCCAACACGTGATCTGTCTGGATCTGGAGGGGGGAGACATAGCTTGTTGGGAGACACCATTTACAATCCTACGCTGACGACATTCCCTAGCTTTATGACCTGGTTTATTACAGTTATGACAACGAGGTTGTGGCCTGAAATGACTGACATCCATTGCTTCTTCCTGTCTATTGTGATTGTTGCCCCAATGCCTATTTGGTGATACAGAGTCACTACGCCTACGGGGGGATGGTTCTGTCCTACGAGAAAGAGGTTCTGTCCTACCCTGTTTGCCTAGCCTAAGGTCAAAACGGGCCCTAAGATTTTGTTCCTGTGTTGCCGACGTTACAGCGGCTGCCAAATTGTTTGGATTTTCTCTCATAATCTTTTTCTTGAGGTAATCATACGCCAACCCGTCAGTAAAAATCCTACCAGTTGCCTTTCTACTGCCGCCCCATTCCCAGCCTGGCCTAATCCTGCATAAGCTTCCTCAGCTAAATTGAGTAGGCGTTCTGCAAACATTTGCACACTTTCTCCTGACATCTGTCTGATAGATCTAAGTAACATGAAAGCATGCTGAGCATCCGTAATTTCAGCGAATCTTTGAGCTAATTCTGTTTTTAATGCTGCCCAAGTGGCTTGATCATGATCATTCATATACCTTTGTATGAAATCGCTAACGGTCCCTGAACTACTTTGGAAAGCAATTAGTTTGCGTTGGTTATCATTAGCATTAGTCAGAATAGCCCATTTTTCTATTGACCAACCCATTGACGGAAGGAGGATGGTTCTCCTTGGAAATTTGGTACAGCACTAGCAATGCCCTGAGCTCCTAACGCTGCTGACAAATTTGAAAGTTGCCCCGTGATTTGCCCTGCAATTCCCTGTAAAAATTCTCCTAATTCCGGAGCTGCCATTTCGTAGTGAAGATACAAACAACCTTAGTTACTCACCGATGCTGCACGAACTCCTGGTCTTCAGATCCGGGTCACGGCATTCAAATCAAGTGTCTCGTCCCTTCGTGTAACAGAGTTGCACGGGCAGAACAAGAACACAAGCACAGCAAAGGAAGGTGATCAGGTTTTATTCAGAGCTGCAGGAAGGCGTGGCAGACAGCAGGGCTCGAGGGGGGTCAGGAACATCAGCAGAGCGTAGAGCACAGGGCGGCTGGCTGGCTAGATGCTGCTCCTAGAGGGAGATGTACTCCTTGAGGCGGTCGAGGCGAGTCTCTCTGACCACTGCACAGTGGGTCCTTATAAGCAGATTTCTGTCCGTCCATCATGCCACCAGTGGACAGGGGATGTGCCATTGTCCCTTGTTAAGTCTGGAGTTACTGCTGTTTTTGAACCGTCTATGCTACCTCCAGTGGACAGGCGAGTCATTACTATGAGATATTACCCTGTTTGTGGCAGGGCGGCATTGTACAGTTGGTCAGCCTGGGGTCACAGTTGTCTGGAGCTCAGCTCGTTAATCCGTGATACTGTCCAGCGTGACCATATGCCAGTTTCATACACAGAGCGCGACAGCTAGCAGTGCTGAGAGAGGTAAGTTAATTATTTATTTGTTCTGGCCGAAAATTCCAGGTTGTTTTATAGCTTTGTTTGTTTGTTATAGTTTCTCGTCCACTGAGAATAATATGGTGATATTATTCTATGCACAATAGTGTAACATTACCAAATAGTGTCTTAAACTATGATGTATGGACAAACCATGTCAAGTTTACATTTGACAGGGAGTAATCTAAACTGTTGCAATGTTTGTTTTGTTTTTTTCAAGAAAAACCCCGAACCTAACGTTAAAATGCAACTAAGACAATCCATATATTGAGATTTTTATTCCACTAGTGAACGATATTATACTAAAATCTCTTGCAAACGAGTTTATCTGCACGGATATGTCCACACTTTATCCCTCCATTCAGTTTGAATGTCTTAACCCACCATGTTGTCACTGGGTTTAGGTGAATGTCTTCACCTGAATTACACCAATGCACATTTCAGTAGTGGATTATATCATACTAAAAACACTCATGTGTCCATTTAACACAATTTAGCGCGCATGTTGTAAGGTCCGTGCATCAATGCTCAACGTGAAAAGTTCTGACACATGTCCACTCACAACAGCATCTGAAGATCAACACCTTTTTTTCTGACTTGACACTTGCTGGTGTGCGTCAGACGCCTCATATATGTGTCTTTTAACACTGTCTTACAGTAGACGCATTCAAAGGTGCCATCATACTGTCTTGTTCCATTAAAGTATACCGGCAAACCACCTTGACGCTGGCCCCGTCTTCTTTCTTCTCCTCCTTGGCAATTGGTTAGGCCACAAGTTGACCTAACATTAAAACATTTAAAAGAAACTAACGAATTACAATATAAACAAGAATATAATCAATTAAAAAGTAAATATAATGCATATAAATCCTTATTAACAGATGGGTCGAAGGATGGTGGCGCAGTGGCCTGTGCCACTGTCATTGATCTATATAAACAATCTTGTCGCCAATGGTTGAAGGGATGGTGTAAATCCAACTAGGGTCCATGCAGGTAGCAAAGTAATGTAAGTCCCCATGGTTCCTAGTATGGTGATCTACCTTCAGTTGTTGGCGATCTATAGCCCGTTTTTATATTGTATTGTCTTCGTAAATAAAATAGTTTTACATGTTCATGCTAGTTTTAGACTCCATCTGTGATACTCTAGTTATTTTACAGTCCTTTCGCTGACTGATTCTTTAGCAACTTTGATTTATTATTTATATAAAACATTTCTCGTCACGATATGGCTGCAATATTGCCGATGTGACGTTAAATCATAACTCACTCACTCACCACTCACTATAAAACAATCTCTTTCTCGTTTACCAGATAACAGCTCTATTTTTTTACAGCAGAAGCAAACACCATATTAACAGCCTTAAAATATATTAAAAAACACCCTAAATATCAACAATATATAATCTTTTCTGACTCACTTTCATGTCTTCAAGCTATCAAGCTCTGGGAGTGTATGCTAAAGATACTTTGCCTGTACTCAAATCTTCTATGATAAGAAGAGGGGTTGGACTTATTGTAAATACAGACTTCAGTCAAAAGAAAGGCCGTCACTGGGTTGCTATGTATTTCAAAGGAAATAGAGCAGAACTGTTTGATAGTTTAGCTGAACCGATTGATGCTGTATTTGATAGTTATCTAACGTCTTATGTTCAATCATACTTGCACAATGGTGAACGGATACTATCTGTAGATTCAAATGTATGTGGACTGTATTGCTTGTATTATTTGTTATGTAAATTTAAAGCAAAGTGGAGTTTTCACCATTTTTTCCACCAGTTTGATGTTAAACACTTCATCTGGAATGACAATTTTATATCACAATATGTTTGTCAGTACTTCAAATATTGTACTCCTTCCTGTTTTACTTGTGAATAATGAAATTCATGTATGATATTTAACATGTGAAAATAATTTCAAAATAGAAAAATAGAATAAAAATAGTTTAGACTAAAGTATTATTGTTTGTTGTTCATAAATACTTGCGCTATTAGTGATTTAACTCCGTTGTGTACTGAGCACAAAACCAAGATACATCATGGAAGAAGAAAATACTTGTCCGTTGCCTTTCAAAACGCCTACGACCATATGGGTGGTAGGTGGATCCTCTAGTGGTAAAACCGTTTGGACTGCCCGTCTCATAAAAACAAGCCAACACCATGTTTGATCATCCACCGAACTTGATTGTGTATTGTTATGTCGTGTGGCAAGAAATTTTCTCAGACTTGGAGAGAACAGTTTTAATTATTCGCTTTCAAAACAGTCTACCTACAGAAGAAGAACTGAAATCAAATTCTTTGGAATCGGATCAACGATGTTTGATTATTTTTGATGATTTTATGCAAGACATTTGTAAAAGTCCAGTGTATTTAGATCTGTATACCATGCTCTCGCATCATTTAGGATTGACAGCATAAATCTAATGCAAAGTATCTATCCAAGAGGTGAATATGCAAGAACCCAGTCAATAAATACACATTATTTTGTGTTATTGTCCAACCCTCCAATAAAATTTTTAGCATCACAGATATTTCCAGCACAGAGTAAATATTTTACCGTGATAATTTCATGATGCTGTAAGTGGTAAAAAAAATTTGGGTATCTTGTTGTAGATACCCAGGAATATTCCCTGATGAGATGTGTACTGTGTACCTGCCACAGTCTTAACCCTATGAATACAGAAAATACAACCATAACACATCATTTCACTTGCATCCCTTCAACCTGAACACAGAGGTATGGATACTTGTGGACGGTTTGGTGATTTTGTTGCGGAGGCAGATTGTGTTGCTGTAACATATACTTCTATTTATGGAGAAAATACAGCGACAGACTAAGATCTGTCAACAGTTGGCCCATTCAACTGAAACAGTCACCAAAAATCAATGGCTGAAGCTGGATTTATTTACACGGGGAAGTCTGATAAAGTCTACTGTTTTAAGTGTAAACTTTGTGCCTCTCAATGGATAGTTGAAGATGATCCACTGTCAGAACATTTTAAATTGTCTCCTCACTGTGACTATATCAATATGATAGCAGCATCAAAGGTAAATCAAGGAAGCATAGATGATGAGATAAAAACCTGCTCCAACAGTAACCCTATCATTTTAAAGCGGAACAGCTACCCTAAAGCATCAACATGAGTGGACTACTAGAAATACATGTCACTTTCTTATCGGTGTTAGCACAAGCTAATCCTGCACAGAGAAAAGCCATGCTGACTCATACTTCATCTGAACAGTTCATGTCAATTATTACACTAGTGTATAATATTCTTGTTGGAAACATACAGCTAACAGAAGACGATAAAAGCCGTCTGTCACGACACAAGAATGCCATTCGAATCTTAGCCAGTAAGAGTGTCAGCAGACGCAGGAAACGTGAGCTCATCGTTGCATACCATTCAATTTTACCTATTTGCATAAGGAACTACCAAGCCTACTTGACCTCAGTACAAAATGAGCAAGCCTATGGTTCTTCTGGCGAGAGAGAGAATTATCAGAGATGATGTCCAAACAAGAAGAACAGACAGCTCAACAGACAGTTCATCAGACAGCTCAATCACAGAAAGCGAATGAGATAGACGATGACAATTCACAACGGATAGCTAACTCAGTACAACCAGCTGATAATCCTGTATGCAAGAAAAAAGACTGAACTCCTGTTTCAAGTTCCTGACCAGTTAATCAAGGACATTTCTTCTACCAAGACTATTGAAAATTGATGTCAATGTGGCTATTTGTGAAAAACAACATTGAAAAGGACAATTAAACGTAGATAAGAATTTACAACTTGTGGTAAACAATAATAATGTACTGCAAACTCAAACATAGTGAACTTGATTCGTTTTTTTATCTTGTCACCACGAAGTAGACGTTCACCAGTGGGCTATAAGCAGCTTCTTAAACTATTAAAACGTTTACATATGCCCAAACATCTCATGAAAAGTGTTCAAAGAAAAAAGAAAGACCAAACAAAGTCACATAGAAATGCTTTATTTATGAAACGTAAAGCTACTGAAGGTGTTCCTGGGATGAGTAAATCGAAAACATTAGAATCATTTTATTGAAATGATGTTGATGCTCAAACTGTGTGTACATTGAGTCAATAAACAATGTGTCCACAATTATTTTCATGTTTGTTCTCTTTGTAGTCTTAAAGTAGTCACACATAGTGTTCCAACAAGCTTGTTCTTGCAGCGGAACAAAATGGCACAATCCGCTGGAAAAAATGTCTTGAGGAGAAAGTCAGTTCTGCACAAGTTTGACTTCAGTTAGTCATAATAAATCTTGTGACGACAAGTGCAGGCGCGTATTGTCTTCAGTTTCTTCCTGACGACACATTTGCCAGTGTGTGTCAGAAACCTGTGATATGTATATTTGAGCTTCACACCGCAATAGACACATGTGAAGAGTCCCGAACTGTCTTCCCCATTTGCATCCACTGGCAGAAACCCATAACAGCTTGTACAGATGTAGGATGGTTGGCTCATTCTGTAAAATAAATCAAACACACATAGTAACAGCGAATACAAACATAATGACATGAACATACATTCTAAATTTCAAAAACGCAAAAACAGAACCCAAATACACTTAAACCAAATTATCATAATAACTCATGTAGCTTACCTTTAGGGTTTGTGAAATTTAAGCTGAAGATTTTCTTGCAGATGTTGTAACTATTCAGTTGATGAATAACCATAAGGTACACTATGAATGCCAACCTCCTAGTACATAACGCTTGTTGTCTATGGAGGTCAGAGCCACTTTGTTTTGTTTCTGTGTGTACAAGACGTTATTGAAAGAGCGAATCAGATGAAAAAAGAACATGACACAGCCCTTTTGTCAAAAGACACTCTGTAAACAGCTTATGTCTGAGAAATTTCTGATGACTGTTTTTGTAATACCTCTTATTGTTTTTTTCTCAATAAGTTCCTTATCTGTTTTCATCAAAAAACGAATACATTTTACTTTTTAGTCCACAGAATTTCAAGTACGATGTTTCCACCTCAAGCTTCATCCTTCATCTTGCCTGTCACCTTCCTGTTTTGATCTCGAATAAAGAAGCCCTTTGGAGTCATTGGATTGCATAATTGGAAGTGTCAAATAAAAGGAGATTTTTGTTTTATAAAAACATAGGGGTCCAGGAGGAGGTTCACGTGGAGGGGCATGGACTTGCATAAAGAGGCTCAGTGTGTCTGTCATGAGTAAATTCAAACATGTTCATGTCCATACTGCTTTTGCATCACATTGTAGTAAAGTCATAGATTTCATATTTGGCCAAATCCAAAATGCTAAAACCAACAGCGATGGGCTGATCTAAATGAACACTTGTCTTTTTCCATTTTCAACGGCGACCACCTCTTCTGAATAAATTTTAACCTGTTTGAAATTGTTTTTGAGGCCAGTTTTTGAAGTTTGGGTCTTTGTGTTACCAGGTACACTATTTTGTGTTTGCTGACCATTCATTGCAGAAACGGCCAAACACACAGTTGTTCATCAATTTGTAACGGTCTTTCTCACAATAATCATCCTTT